TTGCATAAATTTGTCAGCTCTTATGCACCGAAACGCGAATAGCCCTACATATTTGGATGTTCTGATAAATGACAAATGAAATTTAGCGTTCACATGATTTGTCTATGAATTTGACAAATTTTTAGCCAAATGTACAAATCGTGTGATCCCAGGTAGAGATGTGTGTCTCTAACAAAAGGGCTACATTTTCGTAATATATTAAAAACAATGGTTTTTCTTATATTTTCAGCATCAATGATATAAAGAATCGCCTACAGTCAGCTTTTCAAACGAGTAATTCTGATGAGAATCAAGGTCACCCCCTTCACGAAATGGCAGCATATCCCATATGTAACTCAGACTCCACCGAGAGCTCTTGGATGCATGACAACAACGTAACGATTCGTTTCTCGGATAGTCTCTTCGAACCGAAGCGTGAAAATTTAAATCTGGACAGCGCTATTCTTCGTTTATATAAGGTTAACCCAAACAATACTGATGAAGATAACGCTAGCAGTGACGACGATGCTAAAACCGCAAAAACCTGTGGGGACCCATTGACGGTAAACACTTTAACTTTGAAACCTACTTGAACAAATTATATATTTATAGTTATTTTTTTTTCCAACAGTTAACTCCACAAATACGTGTGACCGTCTCTATTGTACAACAACTGCGCCGAAACAAACGAGGTTTGTAGATACGTACATACATACATATACACATATGTACATATACTCACTTGTTCGTATGTAAGTTGGCACAACTTCGATCAAACCATTAGCAGCATCCCAATATGCACAAAGCAAACTTTTTTTTCAAATTTTTTGCAATCGTTAAGAAATACTACTTGATTCTCAAGTGGATGTAAAACATTTTTCTCCAATTTTTTCCAAACTTTGTATAAAAGTTGAATAATGTTCGAATTCAAATTGATATCCAAGCTACGTGTTATCAAGTGGAGAACTCAGATTATTTTGCATACAAAAAATGTGTCCCCTTTTGTTTGAGAATATCCAATTGTCCACTGGAAACTGGAACGTAGAGTTGTAAAACTATCGATAGTGCCACCATCGATAGTTTCCAGCAATACTATCGATAGGGTCAAACGCTACCATCGATAGTCAATGTAATGTTAAAAACTATTCCAAATTAACAGGGACGGCTTCGAAAAACAAAAAAACAAAATATTGAAAATATAAACACACGTAGGGCCGTTTTCTTAAGTAACTTTTAACTTTAAAATTCACTTTATGTTTAAATATTGCTTTAACATGTATATTTCTGTCTAAGTAAAGCATTTTATTATCGAATTTTACTTTTTTATTTACATATCTATTACTGAAGCTTACAATTAAAAATAAAATTATGAGCCTAGTAAAGAAAACTTCTTCTTATGATCTATAACACATGGCAACAAAAATGTGAAAAAATTTGTTGCGGCAAATGTTACAGCTGTTTTCGATTGACTTGTCAGTGCTGATTACGAATTCATGAGCATAAGGTTTCCATCAGCTCCAGATTTTGTGAAAAACGAGGTCCAAATGTCAAAAAATCGAGGTTTTTTTGGCAATATTTTAGAAGCTCTAACAAAGAATCAAAAGGGTATTAGGCTTAAATTAAAGCTAGAAGTCCCGACTACTATCCCTGAAAATACCATCCCTACACCTTGACCTGATGGTCACTTATAGTCATTTAATGAACAGCAAAACCTGATTTTGTGCGAAGTTTGAGTACCCACCGCAATTAAAGAAAAGGGGATGGAGCCTTCCACTTGGGCTGAAATTAAGGTTTGAACTTTCGACTACAATCGCTTAAAATACCATCCCTGAACCTTAACCCTAAGGTCACTTATAGTTATTTATTTAACAGCAAAAACTGATTTTGGCAAAACTTATTTATTTTTTTCAATAGCACAGTATTTATTCCAGTATTTTTATATTGTTCAATAAATGACTTTTAGTGACCATCAGGTCAAGGTGCAGGGGTAGTAGCCGAGAGTTATAGCTTTAATTTAAGCCCCAGTTAAAGGTTCTAAATGTTGTTTTTTGTGCTAGACCTGCTAAAATATTGGAAAAAAAAGCGATTTTTTGACACTTTGACCTCGTTTTTCTTAAAATCTGGAGCTGATGGAAACCTTATGCTTACGGACTCGTAATCAGCATAAAAAAGTCTATGAAAAACAGCTTTATCATTTGCCGCAACAAAATCACTGTTGCCTTCTTTAATTGTTGCTTATTATACATTTTCAAATATGATATATTCTGTTTAAATTTCGTTATATAATTTTTGGATTTGTTTACAGTCAAGAAACATACAAACGTCAAACACCGATAATAGAAATGCTTTACTTCAGATATAACCTTATGGTTTGAAGCAACGTTTAAATATAAAGGGAGCTTTTCAATTAAAGTTTGCTTGAGAAAATGGCCATTAAAGGAGGAATCACATTGAAAGTATCACTTATAACAAAAAATTGGTAAACTTAAAAAACTGACGCGCAGCTGCATGGAGACATTATAAGTAAAATCGGCTGTGCTAGAGGTTTTAAACTATCGATAGTCAACTAGTACTATAGTTTAACCTTTTTTGAGAAAAATTATCACTACTCATCGATAGGGGCAAAAAAACAAAACTATCGATAGTACCATCGATAGTTTGACACCTCTACTGGAACGTGTATGCATATAGTGTTAACTTAAGCAAGTAAAGGCCATTATTAAAAAAATTTCAAAAAAGAGGTAGGAGTCAAAAATAGTTTACCGTATAAAAACTCATGTTTGACAAGTAAAACTTTTTGCGAGGTCCACTCGTCCAGCTTGGTGAAAACAAGTCGATCGAACATTTTCTAAAGCTCCTACGGAATTTCAAAACAATTACCACAACACTAAATTACCTATGCTATCGTATTATTTTTTTGTTATTTTAGAAGAATTTAGCTTTCCAAAGATATCGTGTCACTTCGGTCGCTTTAAAAAAAAGCCGCGTCTTTAATTGACAAGAAATTAACAAAGAACAGAGAGATAATATTGAGCTATATAAAATAAAAGCGCCTGGTCACTGTACGATAGGTTTAAATTCATCGCAATCTCAAGATTAAAGTTCAACGGGAAAGTCAAAATTATGTAATTTCGATAAAATTCCCTCCACCAGATATTCATCTGGTTGAATTTCAAAACCCCAAAATATATCCAAATGTTAGTCAGAGTTATAAACGATCCGAATGCCATACTTTATCTTAATCCATGAAGCCGTTTCTAAATTAAGAGAGGTCTCTCATAGTGCAGGTTTTTAATTTCATCAAATTTCAAATCATCTTATACCGGTAAAAAAAAGTTCTTAATTAAAACAAATAAAAAAGTTCGGCGGAGCCGAACCTTATCTAGCCGGCGCAAGTATTAAATATAGTTTTTTCACCTTTCCGAAAACTACCGCTACATAGTAAGCGGGGGTGGTTGTGCCCCTATTTCAAATATCTTTGTTAGAACGTTCAGTTATGGGCTGTTTTTGCTTACGCGTAAAAGCACATTTAGCGCATTTAGCTCTAAATGCTACTATAAATGTACATTTATCCATACAAAATTCGTCACCTAAATGCAACTCCATTTTTGCATTAAGAATCTAAATGCTAAAAGCAACCCTGTGTCTTCCAAAATTTTCACGATTCGAACATGGTTTAATGATAAAAAGTGGCAACATTGCTTTTTCGCGTATACAGTAGCTAGCTGCGTTTCAGTGATCGCCGATCAAAATTTCATTTATTATTTTACATTATTTGGATAAAGAAAAGTTACGCCAATTCAACATCACATGATGCTGATAGAAATCTGGTTCAATTTAAGATCAACTCTGTTTGTTTTATTTCCTAATTAAGTGAGGAAATTTTAATTGACAGCACCGACAAATGAATATATACACAAACAAATGTTCGCTTATGGTTAAAACAATTCAAGTTTTTGTATTGAATTTTTGGTTTAAAATAAATTTTTTCCTTTTCAGTAGGGTTTTTTGCACATTATCTTCTACGTGAGAATTCATCGTAATAGATACAGATCTGAATAAGCGACTGGAACATGGCTGTTTGTCAAAAGCATAAGATTTCGAACTCGCGTAAATGTACATTTACTAAATGCGATAGCATGAAAGCTCTTCGAAATCATATTTTCGAAAGTGCTAAATGTTGCATTTTAAATGCAGCAAAAACGCTGCATTAGAAATAATGAGCTAAGCTTAAATAATTATACTATGCAGTGAGTCCGAATGGCGTTCAAACGACAAAATTAAATTTAGCTTTTTAAATAGGTTCAAACCCCCAAACAATTTTCCAAATGATTCATATAAAGACATTTCTTAGTGAAGAGAGGTCTCGCATGGTGTCGGTTTTTCTGTTCATAAAATTTCCAATCACTATGACACCAAAAATTCTAACTTGAAACTATAAAACCTTATTTCACATCTGTATCATGTATAATCCCAGTTTTTTAATTTGAGTTCTCATTTCGGAAATTCGAAATAACGGTGCAGATCTGATGGCCTTCAAAAAAAAAATAGGTAGCAACCCCAATCAAAAGTATTATCAAACCATAATGTAATAAACAAAGTGAAATCAATATTTGAACGCTTATTTGAAAATTTAAATGTAAACAATTCGTATATTTGTTTACATTAACCCTCTTTCGGCTTTGGTTCACGTATGATACGATGAAGCATATAACAAAAGCTACATACATATTTACGAACGCGATATGGCTTAGCGAATTCAAACACAACTTCTTTTATTGGAAGGTCATGTTGGTATAGAAGACATTCCCATACCCCTGAAAAGGGTCGTCGTTGCGTTGGCAAGAGATGAGGAATAACTTATCAGTGTTGGGAACATCAAATCGAGCATACTTATAGCGATGTCGTTGTTACGCTTTACCCTGTTAAAGGGTATCACTGCAAATTTAGTCCTTATTCCCACACGAAAAGAGAAAGGGGCAATCAGAAGGTGACATTTTTTGGTAGAAACGAAAACACCATTAGTCTCACTGCTTAGTGGAAGATCAACTTATCTAGGCAACCAGTTCGAAAACGCCCTATCTCAAAAAACTTTTCAACAACCCTCTGTTTCAAAATTTATTTGAAAGACGCCCTTTTAGAGAATTTGATTGAGATAGACTTTCAAAGCTGCAATATTTTTTTTCACAATTTGTGCGAGTTGCACTAGAAATTTCCTGATTTTCTCGATTTTAGCAAAACCCTCAACAACCCTCTATTTCAAAATTTAGTGGAAGAACGCCCTATTGCAGAATTTGATTGAGTTAGATTTTCAAAGTTGCAATATTTTCTTCAGAATTTACGCGAGTTGCACTAGAAATTTCCGGATTTTCTCGATTTTAGAAAACAAATTAGTCATTTAAGCCGTATTTTTTTTTTTTGTGAATAACTATTTACTTACTGACATTTACACATATAAATAGTATTGACGAAGATACAGAAACCGCACTTGGCAGGTGCTTTGTCTCGGAAACAATATGCCGGTACGCAGAATGTCCCCAGTTCAAAACATTTCCCCTTATATGTATATATGTATATACACATCAAGATTAATATTCTTTCTCAAATTAATTACTGCAAATCAGGACCATATATTATTACTAAATTGGCGAAAGTATAAATTTTATGCGATACTTCACATCTGTTTGGCGCA